CAGGGTATTCAGGAAAGATCATGAGTATTGTGAAAATTGGGCTTGTTCAGCCCAGTGAAACGTTACATCATGCATTCCTTACAAGAGAGGGCATATTCGATTTCACGTGGTGTCTTAGATCCTTCCCCAGTAATACTTAAGGATCGGTTTTTCATGGCATAAAACATAGCATAGAAGGATTCCTGAACCTTCACATCAACCTTACAGCAGTTTTTCTTTATTTTGATGAAAACGTTGTATCTAACAGAAACAGAGGTCATTGACAGTAATGGTCTCAGTTCCTGTCACTTAGAGAACTATGTTAAAACAACCCCATCCTGGTCTTCTGGATTTATATTTACTTTCTTCCTTAGCAAGAATATTGTTTACAATCCATTTTCTCTTTTTTCACAGACTGTATTTCTCAATGCAAGCTCGTGGAGAGACTGATAGAGAAAAGCTGCTGTTAATGTATCAGACAAATGATCAAATAGTAAATGGACTTTTTCCTCTGAACAAGGATCTGGCATTAGAAATGGCAGCTCTTTTAGCTCAGGTAACTTACATGTTATGTAGGATAATATATTGAAATGAGAAGATACTAATTTCTATATGAATTAAATGTTGTAAAGTAATTCTTTCAATTCCTTTTGCTATGATTAATACCTTAAAAATTACAGGCATTATAATTACAGTTTGGCTCTGAATTTCTAGCAGTTGCAGTGAGGTAGAATGACACAGTACTCCATAAAGAGAACCAGTCTCTTAATTATCTTAAAAATATACCAGTAGGCTTTGCATTTAATAAAGGAATTTGAGTGCAGAGCTGTAGGGCTGAGGGTGCCATGCTAAAATTGCTCAATAATCCTGTAGGAATTAGGCTTTGAAAAGGATAGAGTGCTTCCTTTTAGTTACCTGTTGTATCAATTAGGATGAAGTTCAGCCTTCTATAAACACAGACACATGGAAATGAATAGTGGCTTAATCAGAATAGAAGTGTATCCGTCTCTCACAAAGAGAGACCTCTGCAAAGTTGTTAGGGATGTGAACTTTATCCTGCTCTCCATTCTGCTGTCCCTAAGATGTCATCTTCATGATCCCGAAGATCTGATAGGGCTCCGGCTATGTCAGTGCTCCAGGGTAGAGGAAGGGCTTAAAAGATCTTAGGTGGGTGACAGTGGAGTCCAGATAAATTCAATGTTTTTATTACTGAAGAAGAAGGAGAAAAATGGTCAGTAGAGGCAACTCCCAGTCTGCCATAGGTTAGACCGAGTCTGCACATGTTAATTAAGGGAAAAGGTTAAAGCAACGCTATGATATTCCATCCAGACCACAGTCTTCAGTCTGTGCTTCTCACTCTACACTCCATTCCCAGGACATCTCATTCATTCTTTTTATCTTTTACTCGCACCACCCATGCCAGGAATTCCCAAATATTTTCTTTCAGCTTTATACATCTTCGGTGGCTACCTTAAATACAACATACTGCAAATGGAGCTAATATTCCCTCCTCTTTCTTCCCTCCTTCACTGTGATACTGCCTCCCATCAGTTCCCCAAACAAGCTTCAAATCCAGGAATCATCACTGACCGTTCCCGCCCTTTCGCCTTTCCCTCTGGTCACCTCCTGCCAGTTTAAACTCTTAGACATGTTTCACCCTGTTTACTTCTCTCTGTGCTGACTGCCATTGCTGTGATTCAGACCCCTGTCATACCCTGCTTGCTCTCCTGCAGCAGACTTCTAACCAGCATCCCTTTGTCTAATCTGGTCCCTACAAATTTATCCTTTACATAGATGCTAAAGAGATTTTCCCATTAATCTATTGTGGCATAACAAATTACTCCAAAACTCAGTCCCTTGAGACAATAATTTGGACACAAAAGTCAAAGGACAGTTTGTTCTGTCTCACCTGATATCAGCTGGCACAGCTTGAGGCCTGGTTGTGACTCCATAGCCAAGAGTTGGAGTCATTTGAAGGCTCGTTCATTCCCACATCTGGTGGCTAATGCTGGCTGCGAGTCAGGGCTGCTGCTGGGACTGTCAGCTGGAACACCTACACACCGTCTCCATGTTGCTACTTGTGCTTCCTCCCAGAATGGTGGTTGTGTGGCAAGAACAATGTCCCAAAAGAGAGACAAGAAGTAGAAGCTGCCATCTTTTAAGACCCAGGCCTGGAACCTGGCACAGGGTCACCTGTGTGTAGAGATTTGTTAGTAACCAGGATAGAGACAGAGCAAAAATGTCATTCTCTCTGAGAGCAGGGACTATGCTCAGCTTTTTCCTTTCTCACATCACTTAAGCACAGTGCCTAACTTGTAGCGGGACTCAGTATAGGTTTGGATGAATGGATGGATAAATGAGTTGATGGAGAGATGGGTGGGTGGGTAGTTGGCAGCGTAGGTAGAAGAAGACAACTCTGTAGCTTATTAGTATAGATAAGGGCTGAACGTTCTTTCATTAAGGGAGAGAGGGGCAAGAAGGGTTCTAGTCCTGGGAATAACAGACTAGTAGAATGAAGGGTGAAAACAGTAACATTTATGAAGAAAGTCTAAAAAGAAAGTTATAAAAATATGGTTCTTGCTCCCATTGCATTTAGGAAAGACCCTTTAAAAATCTAACTAATAAAAAAAAATAAAATAAAATCTAATACGTTCTAGACTTTTCTTACAGCTTTATGATGTTTTGATTTCTATTTTTAACTTCTGTTTCCCGACATCATTAGCAATTAAAATGGTACCTGAAAAATTATCCTGTGTTATAGGCAATAACAGAGTATTGGCCTTTAGTGAATACTACTTGATGGTAATAAGAACCTAGGGAGATTAATGTAGAAATGGAACTAAAATGTTAAAATTATAGATTTTTTCAAAATTAGAATACAAATGTAATTTACATTTAATAACTATTCTTACATATGATTATAAATTCCAAAATGTTACAATCATGACAAAGAGATTTAAGTGTGATAAGTTTAAAAAGAACATTTCGGAAAAGTAAAACTGATTTTCTTTTAAAAAAACTCTTTTCAATAGCCCATATTTTCTCTTTTCTGGTGTTCCAATTAGGTGGAGATTGGAGATTTCGAAAGACCTTTCTCAACTCCAGCCGGACATGTTACCAATCAGTGCAAAGCAAATCAAACTCTAAAACAAGTCATAGAGAAATTTTATCCTAAAAGGTATAGAGATGGCTGTTCTGAAGAACAGTTAAGGTAAGAAAATATTTGTAACCCTTAAAAAGGTAGAGATATACCACTCTGTATTAGTCTTTTAGCATATTTTTTCTGGTCAGTTTTTTTTTTAAGACAGAGTTTTGCTCTATTGCCCTGGGTAGAATACCATGGTGTCGTAGGTCACAGCAACCTCAAACTTTTGGTCTCAAGCCATCCACTTGCCTCAGCCTCCTGAGTGGCCAGGACTACAGGTGACGGACATAACATCCAGCTAGTTTTTCTTTTTTCAGTAGAGATGGGATTTTGCTCTTGCTCTTGCTCAGGTTGGTCTTAAATCTGCGAGCTCAGGGCAATCCACCAGCCTTGGCCTCTCAGAGTGCTATGATTACAGGCATGAGCCACCGTGGCTGGCCTATGTTTACAATTTTTAATTAAAAATTACCTTCATTTAGGTCTGCTTTTCATTTCATATTATTTATTCTTATCTAAATTCTGATAATAAAGAGAAAAAATTGCCAATAATATGTTTAATTTTATGAGGTGCTTATCAAAAAGTTTTATCTCAGGATATTCCATTGTAAACAAAATGAAAGAAAAATAAACGATCTTCTTACACAAGACTTTTTAATATAAAGCTTTTAATTAAACTCTACTAATTTGGAGTTTTGATTTGATTTTAGAGAACATATTAAGAAATGCTGATTAGATTAAAGATGGGGGAGGGGAATGGCAGCAAATCCAATTTACCATGAGTTTTCATGGTTTTCTTTTTTTGAGACAAGGTCCTCATTCTGTTACCCGGGCTAGAGTGCAGGAGTGTGATCATAGCTCACTGTAACCTCAGACTCCCAGGCTCAAACAATCCTCTTATCTTAACCTTCCTAGTAACTGGGATTATACAGGCATGTGCCACCATGCCCAGCTAATTTTTCTTATTTTTTTGTAGAGGTGGGGTCTTGCTGTGTTGCTCAGGCTTGTCTTAAGCTCCTGGCTTCAAGTAGTCCTCCCACCTTGACCTCTTAAGGTGCTGGAAGTATAGGCATGAGCCATTATGTTTGGCCTACCATGATTTTTCTACATTAAAAATACTTAACATTAGTCATTTGTCTACATGGAGTAAGTGGTTGCCTTCATGATTTGATTAGAGAAGTTTCTTCCAGCATTCAACTTCTCTCCAAGCCAAAAGTGGTAATACTTGAAATTCCTCCATTAGGGATTCATCTTTGGCCTCTCCTACTTGAACTTTTCTTTAAAAATGAAAATATTCCTATGAGAAGTTACCTTAAAACTAATGTATACTAAGGTTTGATGATAGCTACCCAGAATTTTTTAATTTACCTGTTGGGGTTACTGGTTGATGCTGAGTACACAAGTAGTATGAGAATTTGATGAAAGGAATGCTCCAAAAAGGTCAAAAGGAGGATGAAAGTGAGGTGAGAGGGGCAAAACCTTCACCTGGCTTATGCCGAGGTATCACAGTTGTCCTAAGAAAACTTTATCTTGGGAAGATGACACGCTGTTTATGTTTTTGCTTTTGTGGGGCTTTTTATTGTTGTTGTTCATTTCCTTTTTAGGCAGCTTTGCCAGCGGCTGTCAACCAGATGGATGACCCTCCGAGGACACAGTGCTGCTGATTGTGTACGAATTTATTTGACAGTAGCCAGGAAGTGGCCATTCTTTGGTGCCAAGTTGTTTCTTGCAAAAGTAAGAAAGAATGAGAGAGAAATGCATAATAAAAATCTTTTGGTACATTGCCTCAGCACCTGTAGCTCAAGCAGCTAAGGCGCCAGCCACATACACCAGAGCTGCAGGATTTGAATCCAGCCCGGGCCTGCCAAACAACAATAACAACTACAACCAAAAATTAGCCGGGCATTGTGGTGGGCGCCTGTAGTCCCAGCTACTTGGGAGGCTGAGGCAAGAGAATCACTTAAGCTCAGGAGTTGGAGGTTGCTGTGAGCTGTGATGCTATAACACTCTACCCAGGGTGACAGCTTGAGGCTCTGTCTCAAAAAAAAAAAAACCCAAAAATATTTGTGTGTATAGTCAACCAGATTTACCCCAGATTTAATATATTTGGCTTTTTTTTTAAATGAAGAAAGAGCCAACAATGTGAAGAAAATGATGAAGGGACCCTGGGGAAAGGGCAGGAAAGCTTCTCCATTCTTTGCCCTCTGGTTAACTTTCCTCTACCCTGAATCATTTCTTAGACTCAGTAGGCAAATCAGTTACAAACAACAGCTGAACTCTGCTTCATTCTCTTCATTCATCCATTCCCTCACTTTCTCTCTCACGTAGTAGCTCATTTATTAAGTGTTTACTGAGTTCTGTCTGCCAAACATTGAGCTAAGCTCTAGGGATACATAAACTCATGGTTGCAGCTGGGTTGTACATAAACTTCCAGGATTGATTTGTTCAGTATAGTCCAGGGTTGCACCAGGCCTGTAGACGTAACCACAGTGTGGTAAATATCATGAGGAGTGACGTGAACAGAGTGTCGCAGAAACACTGGGAAAGGAGACTAGCCCTGCCAAGGGGATGCCCAGCCCTTTCCCCAAGGGAAAAAAATGTGCCTTTAGAATCCTTTTCATTCTACTGAACTGTGTCACTTTGTATTCTTTCACGCTCTTAAGATACATGCTGTCTTGTGTTTTATTTTACCCTGATTATTAAGTTGCACAGTTCTTTGAAGGCATAGACTCACTAATCTTAAAATCTTCCTCTGGGGGCCACCATGATGCTTTGCACATAATTACTACTTAATAAATATTTGCTGAATAGCAGTGCATCTTTGGGCAAGTTGATTAACTTCTCTGGGCCTCGGTTTCCTCATCGATTAACGAGCAACTTGGACTAAGGTAAGAAATTATTTCTGCTACTGGAGCTGGAAGCTGTATTATTAGTTAATAGATAATGAAGCTAGTATTCTAAACATCTATAAAATTAATGTATTTGCAGAGAGTTGAACATGTTTTTTAAAAATATAAGGAATAGGCTCGGCACCTGTGGCTCAAGTGGCTAAGGCACCAGCCACATACACCTAAGGTGGCGGATTCGAATCCAGCCGTGGCCCGCCAAACAACAATGACGGCTGCAACCAAAAAATAGCC